ACACAAGAAAGGAGGAAATAGGGAGGCAAGAGGAGAGTGGGAAAAGCATAGTTTTCCTTTGGCTTTGGGCTCTAGAATCAAGTTGATCAATCTTCTGTTACTGCATCCTCAAGTATGGACTGTTTTATCTAATTCAGTAGCAGGCAACCTGTATGGCATGGAGCTCCAGCAAGTGTCCTCCAGGTTATACAGCTATAAGGTTAGCCTTGGTGCAAAGATCTCCTTTGCATATCTGTATCAGCTATGTTCTTTTATTCACACTATATAGGAAAATTTATGTCAAACATCAGGTTCTCAAGGGTCTGAAAACACACTATTTGACTAGTCATTATTTAAGGCCTCTCACCCATCCAGCTAGCTCACTGAATGATCATACGGTATTTGTACTTAAATAACTCATCTTGAAATATGTAAAAGGAGTGCCATGAAGATTAAATGTCTAATGGTAAATTTGATATTTCTCCAACATCCATCTTTAAAAATATCATCTAAAGTTTTTCTCAGAAGAAGAAAAAACTATTGCAGCCTAACTTATCTCTCCATGTTACAAGTCAAAAGGCAGAGGTAAATAATATTTCAGCTTCCTAAAACGTTGAGAAACATCTTGAAAAGACAATCATCACTGCTCAAAATTAATACCTTGTTTAAAAGGTACTACTGATTTCTCCAGACTGATTGATTATTTTAATTATCCAATTTGAAGTATTTTACCAATGAAAGTACTTATGGTAGGATTGACTACATTACAGAAAGGCATTTAAAGTATTCAGTATTGTAGCATTAATAAAAGGAAACGATTATTTTGCTTAAATGAAATTCTCCTGACTAATTTTCTACAGAATTCTTCGCGATGGTTAAGTAAGACTTCAGCTTTCTCTTCTCTAGTTAAAATATTCAGTTAATGAATTTGGGTAAAAAGATGGCAAAATTATGCCAGTGACACAATTAGAAATAAGACAATAATGCTCTTACATGATAAGATGCATAGCTTTAACCAGATTAAGATTTTTTTTTTTTTTAAAGTTCAAAGCAATATTTTCTTTCAGTGAAATAAAGGACTTAATTACTTGCGGGATTAGACATTTATGGACAAAGTTGTACCTGGCCTCAGTGAAAGAATTAAGCACAGTTCTAAGAAAATGAAAAATAGCAATATACACAGATAAGCAGATACTATAAGATGGAACAAACTTGTGATTTGGACAACTGAATTCTGAAGTTTTTCTCTAGTTCCTTCTCATGTGGCTTTCCTAGTAATTTTAGAATTTTTTCTAAATAGCAGCTCAATAAAATGAGCGAAGACAGCTTCAGCATTTGATCCAGTAATACTTACAGGAACAAACTAATCCTTGGAACAATTCCATTTAACTTATTGGTATTATATGAGGGATATGGATGATCCTGTGATGAGTCTAAAAGGTAGACTGTAAGACAGCAGGAGAAAATTTGGCATTGCTACTAGTCAATACTGGTCTATGAAGAGCATGTGTTGATATTTTCACCATGGATTGGCTCATAGAAGCACAGTGCATAAAATGGGCAATGAAATTCCAGGACAGCAACTGCCAGAATACCGATCGTCCAAATACTGTCTTATGTACAAAGATACGAAGATATTTCACTGGAGTTTTGTAGTAGTTATCTACATCTTTAGCTATTTTAGCAGTTATTTGAAGCTTTTTCTCAAGGAAATACACAGCTTTCATCTTTGTCAACCCTGTTATGAGAAAGTAACTTATAGCAAGTATGTTGTTACTTGTTTAAAACTCCATACAAAGCCAAGTGTGGGACAGATATTTCAATGTATTTCATTCATAGACGCATAGAATCATGTAATAGTTGAGGCCAGAATGGACCTGTGGAGATTGTCTTGTTCAAACCCCTTGCTCAAATATGTTCCTTTTAATGCAGCCAAGGATGCTATTCGTCTTTTTTGCCAAAGGCACATTACTGGATTGTTAAGGTGACCAAAGATGCAAACCCCTTTTTTCCAAGGGAAATTAATCACCAAGAACTTCTGAAAACTCCAAAGTATACCATAACAGATTCTTCAGATAACTACACGTATATCATGTAGGACAAGTTTCACACTGGTAAGTGCCAGACATCTTGAAAACAAAAAGGCAACAGGAGTTTATTTTGTTTTCAGCCCAACAACTAAATTTTAAAGTATTTATAAGAAAAAGGAAACCAAGAAATTTAAAGTTATTCTACAACCCTTTTCTGTATAAGATGAAGAGCTATTTCCATATAAATTCCAACAGCTGTATTTTATAGCTCTGGAAACATGAGGAAAGCTGAAAAAATGTCATCTGCAATGTCAGATTGAGTGGTTAATCTCTATTATCACAGTGAGCAATTGAGGTAGTTTAACCCTGGGCTGACAGGTAAGCCCCTCACCCGGTCATTACTCACTCCCCGCCCCAGCAGGATGGAGGAGAGAACTGGAAGGGTGAAAGCGAGGAAAAAAAACACCTTGTGGGTTAAGATAAAGACAGTTAATAAGTGAAGGGAAAAAAAAAGTTCAAAAAAACCCAAATGAAGTAAAAGTAATTATTCCCATCAGCAGATTGATACCCAGCCAGTCTCCAAGCAATGGCTGCTTTGGAAAAACCCCTCCCTGTTTTACAGCTGAGCATGATGTCATATGATATGGAAAATCTCTTTGATCAGTTAGGGTCAGCTGTCCCAGCTGAGTCCCCTCCCAACTTCCTGTGCACCCCCAGCCTACTCGCTGGGGGCGCTGACCGAAAAACAGAGAACACCTTGACGCTGTGTAAGCACTGTTGAACAATAGCTAAAACACTGGTAGGTTATCACCACCGTTTTGGTCACCAGTCCAAAACAAAGCACCATACAGGCTACGATGAAGAAAATTAACTCCATCCCAGCTGGACCCAGTACAGCAATTCATTATTGTCTTGTCTTTACAGTAACAGTCTGGTAACTTTATGTGGTAGTCCACAAGAAATTTTGAAGATATACAGTGATTATTTGATCTGGATGTCTGGGAACCATTTCTATAAATTACAAAGTCTCCAAACTACTCATCTACAAATAGCTCTCCTTATTTTTTTTTTTTTTTATTTTACAGTTTTCCCACTATGCAGCAAAATATCTAACAATTCCCCTTCATTTTTACCAATGCTGAACATAATACATGTTTCGGAACACAGCAGAAGTATACTAAATCAGTATATAAAAAATTCAATCTGAATAATGTGACTTGGCTAATGTTGAGCAGAAATGGTTTGTTTAGGCTTTAATGTGTCCAAAAATAATGCCTGTGACATGAGTTTCTTATCTGTGAGATAAGACTTCAGGCATTTCTAAAATACATACTGAGGTACAATACAGGAATACTTTGGTTAGATGAAGTACTGAAAGACTAAGTCATGGTAACAGAGCTTCACACAGGCAAGTTTCTTCTAATTGAGCTAACTCCAGGTAAGCCTGAATATCTGAACATTGCACCACTGTACATAGCATGGACACAAACATTGTTATATGGTTGATACTTCAGCTATACAAAATACTAACTTATTCTGTAGTAAAATTTAAAAATATTTCTTACCCATTCATAAGAAACAATCCAACACCCACGAGCAATTCCCAGCATAACATTCAAGGTACGACGAGGACTCCCTGTAACTACGTGACTTGTTGTTTCACATACATCATCTGAGAACAAAAAGTCTCCAAGTTTATTCACCACCTGAATTACTATATTTTGTTTCCTAAAAAGAAGAAAAGGAAAAAAAACATACAATGTTGAATGGATATGCAGAATTATAGAAGCATATACACACAACACAAATTAACTCAAATTCATCTCACTTCTTTCCTCCCTAATAATTTCTTATCCTTTTCTCACTGAGCCTCTACCCATTTGCTAGCTCTGAATTCATTAGCCTTCCCACAGAGTCCAAACAGACCCTTTTCTGTCATCACACAATCATATCTACTTGCACATCAAAGCTCTTTTGTCCCCAAATTCTATCTTGTCTGTTTAAATAGAAGCTTTTGAATCAGGAATTATCTAACATATTGTTTGTGTACAATGCCTAGTACAACAGAGCCTAATTCTTTGTTGCTTTTGTAGTGCTATCAGAAAAGTATTACCAGGAAATGTAAACATTTAGAGACAGCACTCTTAAGAGGTTTTCATTAGGAAGCACCAGATTTTCAGCATCTGAATAAAATGCTGTGTCTAAGCGTCCTAAAGTTCTGGCTTGCTACCTATACATACGAACCAATATTTCAATTAAAAATTTACTTATCCTGAAATACAATTATAATTAAATATAAAAACCAGAATTGCCACCTATAACTGGAATTCTAATTTGAGTTCTCTACATAGCTACACTGAAGCCCACAAATATATAATTGTAAGAACAGTGAAATCTTGGTATCACTAGAGAAAAGCTGTTGCATGAGAACAATTTACTGTTCTTATTAATGTTTATTATTATAAATCATTAGTACAAATGATCATTAAATATCTGTAAATGAAAGCCCAGTTCCAGTGCCCTCTCTGCCCCCTTAGTGGACTTGGAAATGTCCACGGCATGCTACGCAAGATAAAACAGTTAAGCACAACCTTGAACACAGGCGCATCTATCACAATGGTAATCCTCTCAGGTATTGAAGTTAATTACTGACATAATGCAAGCACACTCAGAACATCCCCAGAAGTCTCTGGGGTTACTTTCATTCTCACTACATTGCACTCCACAGAAAGTAACTCAGTCAAAGCTCCCCAAATACCCCAGCTAAAGCAGACACTACTTAGAGGAACTCTAACATAACCTGCAAAAAATTCTTCACAGAAAATGCAACAATATTTTTTTAAGAAGTTTCAAACAAATAAATGAATAGTAACAGCAAACAATGTAGCAAATTAACGTCACACAAGTCAAAAGGTGATATTTTATGTGGAGACACTTAAAAAAAGATAATTTAAAAAAAAAAAAATCAAACCACTGACTTAACTGCCTCACTCCAGACACTGGTTAGTGTGAATTCTGGCCTTGGCTATATTGCCTTGAATGGTACGGGAATATTTACTATTCCCTTTTCATTTGATGAGGTTTAACTTGACATAGCCTACAAGGGAATGTTTTTGCAACGCTGCAACCTACAGGGGCTGGCCCTGCCTAGACTCCATGCTCAGGGGATGCATTTCCATGCTCTACCTGAAGCTTTTCTTCTTTCTTGTGTCTACGTAAAATTCCTTACAATGAGAGGGAAAAGTCCTGTTGTCCAAGAATTGAATCTAAGATATCTTATAAATTACAGTGAAAACTCACTAGTTTATACTTCAGTCAGCTGCAAAAACTGACAGATGCAAATTTACAGCAAAATTTCACTGATTTGTGACAATCACAAAATTTGTGATTCAGAAAAACATGTAGCTGCTGGCAGTGAATCAGCGAGCAGCATTTAATGTAATCTCAAAACCCAATGCCATAAAACCACTGAACTCATGATCTTTAAATTTAAATTCTAATGAACCACTTTTGAGGCTGTAGCTACTGGGTAGTAGAATTGGCTTTTGGCCATTGAGTTGTACACTTTGGAGGACTGTTTTCTGTTCTTCAGTTCTTTCAGAAGCAGTCCTTTTCCCTTCACCCATTTACAGGTTGATGAATGCCTACAACTGTAGACAGCCAAAAGCATGATCTCGATGAAGAAGTTCTGAAGAAAAGCAATTGTTATCACCAGACATTTTTATTTAACGAAATAGTAATTGGCTTGTAGGAAAAATCAACATAAAAGCAACATTAAAGAAATAATATATTAATGACCTCTTTCAACAAAAGAACTTTTTCCGCAGCTCTGCCAGGATTTGTTCTCTTCTTTTAGGCAGATCACTGCCTCTGTTTTCCACTACTCCTATCTGCACTGTAGCTATTATCTCTACCTCCCCTACAGTGATCCTGTATTGCATGACTTGCGAAGTGCATTTTACAGTCTTGGTGTTACTAGCATCCAGTCACATTAAATACAAGAAAAGTATTAATTCCATTTTATGTTTCTGACATATAGTAGTATACTTGTTAATAGCTATTGACAACCATTTACAAAATGCTTCTAGAAGATAGCCACTAAGTGCTGTTTCTGAGTACTTGTATCTATGTAACTGTCAAGATATAATTACTTCAAACCTGAAACAGATTTGTGGGTAGTAGAAATATCTTTAGTTTTGAAAAAGAATTCAAAAAACTGTAAGCAAGTGTAGTATAAAATATGGAACTGTGTTTTTGTTGGATGTTCTTTATGCTGTAAGACTTTTAAGAGAACGATAAGACCATGCCAGAAAATTATTAACTCTCCCCCAAAATATGCAGTGGCAGCTGCTTCTAATGTTTTGAAACTAAGTGGCTAAAAAGCCTACAACTGATATTTCTTCAGCAACTATTTATATGAAAGAAAACATTTTGAACTGATGTTTCAGACTATGACTTTTTAAATAGAAATAATTAAAATGTATGGGGAAAAAGCTAAGTCTTGGGCTGAAAGTCTGAACCATTTACTACATAAAATTCCTTTTTATGCTTCCTTCAGAAAAATTCAAAACTTGCTTAAGATTTTAGTTTCATTGCTCTGAAACCCTGTTGAGCTCACCTATGGAACAACTACTTCAGTCTGCACCACAGCAACACAAACATACACACACACTGTATATAGACACACATACATACATGTATATGTCGTTGCTAGCTAGAATACAGAATGAAATAAAGTATTTTACCATACGGCACATACAGCCCATATATGGCCATTTATGCCTCTATAGGCATAAAAAGATTATCAACATTCAAGTTTAAATGGTGTGCTGACTTAAGAGTCAAAATGTTTAATACTTACTCAGAAGACATACTCGTCATAACTAGTGTCCTTGTTGGCTAGAGATGTGAAAGAGACAAGAAAACATCAAAAATCTGAAAAGATTTCCCCTTTGAAAAAAAAAAAACTTAACTTAGAAACTGTTCCATTAAAAGGACTAAACTACTTCATAATTACAGTATCATCTGGGGAAGAGGCTGTACTAATTAACGTATATACTAGAAATATTAAACTTTGAGGACAAGGAAGGAAGGAAAACCCTTCATCACGTCTGGTATCAAAGCATCCAATACAGCAGAAGACAGGAATGCAAATTTCCATTAGTAAAAACAAAAAGCAAAGGATTTCCAGTCTGGGATGCCACAGAAAAAAGCATAGTATTTGTCTTCCGCCTTTTCCTTCTGATCAGGTGGAAAGGAAAAAGCAGCTTACCTTCAACAAAGAAAACCTGTAGTTTAAAATTACTCCAGTTTCTTCCAAAAGAAAGGCAGAAACTGGCTGAGATGCTGCAGAAACAATTTACATATTTATTGTAAAGTATAATTTTAATAATTTTATTCTGATAGTGTAGCTTTTTTGGGGGGCACAACTTCAGTGTTTTAAGTCCAGGTTTTTAAGTAAACATTCTTTCACTCTTAAATCTTGTCTAGTGAAAAGCTGTCCGAGTAATATAACACACAAGGTATACTCAAAAGAGTACAGCAATCAGACCAGCAATTCTGAGACACCTTAAAAAGCACCCTCCCTTCCCCTGCAATACTCTCCGTAGCTTATGTGCAAAGTAGGAGTGTTTGCCCCATACAGACTTTAAATAAGCTTTTTAAGAATTAGTATTATAGAAGTCAGAAGAGGAAGAAGTATCCTTTGGTCATTAGCAATGACCATAAAAGCCTCCAGCACATACAAAGGTAGGACAGAACATGAATTTTAGCAGTATCAGAGAAATACATAACTGAACATAACATGGTCATCACAAAATATATGTAAGAGGTTTTGGAAATCTTAGCTAAGAATTACTTGTAGCTACGTGAACATGTACAAGTATGTTTACATAAACATTTTAATTTTGTAGAAAAAGTAGATCGACTGACTTTTATACAATGATTTCAAACAACTCCTCCTAATTTTCAAAATCAATATATGATTTTCAAATTACTTCTCTAGGTAACTACTGCTCCATAAGAAATAATCATTCCCATTTCTGCCCCCCCAATCTATTACCACAACCACAAGCAGTAAGCTCCCAAAGTCTCTGCTAAAATTCAGTTTCCTTTGAGTAATGTATTGAGCTGAGACTACGAAAACATTTTGAATTGGATTACAGCTGGTAGCACAGGCCAAAAAGGACTCGAGGGCAACTCATTTTACCCAGTAATGAATCACAGAACAGAAGAGAGAACACACTCTTATGCAACTCCATCCGTCCTCTCTTATCAGTACAGAACTGTTCTCCATTAAGTGTTCAAGCAATTTGTCACATTTAAGAATGGAGTTCTTTGGAGTTATCTCTGTAGACTAATAGACTGTAGACTAATAGTGTGCACCATGACTGTTCATTATATGAACAATCTTTGCATAAATAAAACACAATTTAGATACCATTGACAAGCTAGATATTCAAGATAACATAAGAAGTAGTCTTTTCAACATGCACATGGTAATTTCATTCCGTGGTTGGGTAAATTTGAAAAACATAAACCCCAGGTACTATTCAAGTCTTCAGAAGCAATATAATGTAGCATATTCAATAATTTTTTAAATTCATGATAAACATGTACTCAGACAACATTATGTAAGCTATACAATACTTCAGAACTGAAAATATATACAATGTGAAAATGTAAAAACAATAATAGAAAGGAATAAAACTTCAAATGAGGAAAGGATGAAACTTTTATATTGAAATATTTCTTTGAGAGAAATTCTATGCAGTATTTTTTGAAATATAAGTTTCCAAATTCTAACTTATTGCCAGCAATACTTACCGATGATGTCTTAGCCTACTGCTAGCCTGACAGTTGAAGAGAAGATAATATGCACTGTAATCTGTAATCAAAATTTGTTGTATTCTTAGCCAAAAGACTTTCTACTGCATCACTTTCAACTACAAATAAGCAGTCACATTTAATTGCTCTTGGAAGTTCCAAGAACTTCACAGCTTCAGTTCCACATTTGTTTTATATGCAGAGTTTAAGCAAAAATAATAACAATGCAACAATATATATTAAATATACCTACCATAACATTCATATAATTAGTATTAAATAGTAAGTAATATAAATTCAAAATTTGAGTATATACACTCAAAAAAACATCTAGTAAGACATTGAGTAAGGGTTCTCGTGGCAGAAGGATTGCAATATTAGGCACTCTACTGCACAGGTTAGGTCAGATGATTGAAATCGGACATGGGGCCACATTATACAATAGTGAGGACATACCTCATACTGTCTTAATACACGTTGTTGGATTTGCGTAAACTCCTGAACATTAAAGGATCCTGGGATGTGACAGTCTGGGAAGGCACAAAACATGGCTTAAAAGCAAGGTTTTACTCTTCTCTGTCCAATCTTTCTGGGCCGAAAACCTCATCTATGTCAAATATGTATACTTCAGCATCGTCATGATGTTCTCCTTCAGTATCTGAAGTCAAGCCTCACTGCCATCAGAATGAAGCTCTTTGGCTGAAAGTCTGGAGTTACATCCACACAAAAGAATTGCACTAGGTTCTTGGGGCCCTTGTATAGTACTAGCTCCAAAGCCAGATCCTGATGAGCCTGTTCAGAATGTGCAGAAAAATACCCTTCCTCACAACTTTTTATAAATGAAATGTCATGGAAGTATTACTAATCAGACCACTACTTTTGCCAAACTTGGGTTAAAAAAAAGCATTACTATAAACCAAGGCAGCTTGAGATCCTGCAGCTGCTTCTTCAGCTTCAGAGCAGAAATGTTTGTTAACAGTTCCTTAATACCTTATCTACAGGGAAGTGAAAATACTGGATCCACACAAATTGGGAAACCTGCAGCCTGTCCTGACATTACCCTGCAAAGTCAGCTTTTGAATTGTAGCTTTTATGCTACAACACATTGCATACAAGATGGTACAAGTGAGTATTCCGGGCAAATGTTCTGTCAGTGCGCTTCAAAGTGATTCAGACTCAGGAACGCAGAAGGATGCATACAAAAGGTAGAAATTGGAATAAATTTAACTTCTTCCAAACTATTATTTCATTTTCATTCAGAACTGCATATTTTTGCAAGTTAGAGGTCATTCGCTAAGCAGAAAACATGTTGTTTTATTGCTTCAGTAAGACAAGCAGTCCTCTTTAATTACAGTTACCAAGCAGAAAACTTAGCCAAACTATGTTTTAATTTTCAGTTGTACATTTTTCAAGTTAATTGCTTCCCCCCCCTTGCTATGCAATTTTTCTTCTATGCTCTTTGTGTCTGTTTTATTTTACGTGTTGCTTTTATTGCAAAAAAATTTTGAGTTAGCATTTTCTTTTCTGACCAGCAAAAAGACATCTGGTGAGCATCACTATGAGTTCTAATGCACATTTGTAGCAGGATTATTATTAATAAAACACTGGAAAAGGTGGTATTAAGTTAACTGGTCCTTTCATTTATCATTAATCTCTGAATCCTGAAGAGTTGCATATCTCTACTCTAAATCAGAACACACTTCTTTCTGAATTATTTTTTAGGTCTGGAATATAGGCTGTTATAAATGACATGCTTCAGCTTTCCTTTATATATTTCTTAGGAGCACAGTCGCATTAAGTATTTATTTAGTCTGCCAACAAGATTTTTTTAAGTCATCCGAAATATAAAACATGCATTTCAGTAGCCCAAAGGAAATAGTATTTGTAAATCTTCCCAGTACTTAAAAGACGATGTGATACTTCCTGTATGCTAACTGACCTACACCACAAAAAAGGCATCCAACCTCAAAATGTATTCTTTCTTTCTTTTAAGTTTGAGCAGGTGTTTCTTGGAGCTGAAGGACAATAAGAGATAAGTCCTGTTTTGTACAACCTGCTTTTCAAGAAAGTGAACTCAAATTTTGTTTCCTTAAGAATGTCATGAGTTGTTTTTCATAAGTGACAAATGAATTCAAATGTGACCATAAAATTTGTTTTTCCAGGCCAGTTCTCAAGAAAAAAGTGCATTCATGCTAAGAATTGACTCGATAGGAATAGTTTTACATTTATGACTGGTTAAATTCCAGCCTAAGTATATTAGATCTCATTTTGTCTTTGGGTCAAGAACCTAGGCCTGATATTTTTCAAGAAAGGATTTCAACCAATAAATACCACTTTTGAATTGTATATTACTTAGTCGAAATGCTCCTCTTATGCCTTAAATTTGACTGAAGTTCTGAAAGAAATAAGCTTCAGTGTACTCGCAAACTCAGACGTATGCTGTGATGGAGGAAAAAAAGACCTTCAGTACTCAACAAGATACCTATGTGGTTTGGCCAATATAGCAAGGACAAAGGGCTTTTTGGGGGGCAGGAGGGAGGCAGGGGAAAGCAGTGCATGCATGTGCAAATAAAGTGTAAGGGAGAGTACAAGACTATTCTGCTATCTGCTTTGTACTCTTCCAATCCCTTTTTTCTCTGGCTATTGTAGGTCCATCAGATGGTTCTGAAATTGGTTCAGAACTTGTATACTCACTTTTGATCTTTACAGCTGTATTTCAGAAGTAACAATCTTCAGTCCTACTAGTACATGAGCCAAAAACCAGAGCCGTGTGTAGCATGGGAATATTAAAGAGTCAGGTTAATTTCACTCTGCTTTTATCTAGGAAGGTTGTAATGAGGATCCAAAACTTTAAGGCCGTTTTTAGAAACATTCTATAAATTGTGCTACATTAATTTATTCTATTTAAGTAATTGTGGCTTATAGCTGAAAATAATTGGTAATTGTAATGAATGATTACAATTCAGTAGTTTTAAACAGCAATTATTCAAAGCTGTAATTTACTTTCTGGCTGGCCTTTCTCCTCTTATCAGTCCTTTGATACTGACATTTTTCCAGTTTCCTCTGGCTGCAAA